ATTTTTCAACTTTGAACGCGTATTACAGCAATATGGATAAGAGCACAATAATGTATCTATACTTTAGAAGATATTAGGAAAATTGATCACTGCTACTAATATTCGCGCCTCCCCAGGAAGGCGCGCATCACAGTTTGGAAAAAGCTGCCACATAATAGTAAATATATACATTTAGAGCTTTTTCCAATTTGATATAATTAGCCTAAATCGAGAAAGCGCTAAACGAGGTTTTACTATAGATAGTAAATAAGTAGCAATAGAAGTACTACCTTTACTATCATAACTGACCAGATTATATGTAGTGGTTACCCATCTTTGCTTAACTTTCACAAAAACTAAAAGAAGTGGATGCATTCCATTATAATAAAACGAAGTTATATAATTTTTGTATTGTTATGACTTCTATTAATTGTAGATGTTCATTTTACAGCATACTGGATTAAGTGTTATAAAATGTAAAATATAAATTAAAGAAAAAAACTTCTTATATTGTTATCTTCTTTCAAACAATCTGTGAGCTTTTCTCGATTGCAATTTGCGAGGGTGAAATTTAATTTAGCGATCCCCTTGTTGCGTCCATTTTCTTTCGAGTTCATGTATTTTTTTTGTTGTGTAGTCTTCTAAATAAATTACTTTATATGAAATGTGAATATAGCATTTTTCTCGGCAAGAGAAGATCGTAATTAGAATGTTTGTGCTGAGCGTCGCGAAGCTTGTAATTAATTTACTATGAAGAGAGATGATGACAAAAAAAAAGCATAAGAGAAGGATGAAGATAAAAGTGGAAATATCGAAGTGGCTGTAAAATGCAGCGAAGAGCAATTAGCGTGTATGTAAAGCGCGTGTGGACAGAATAGTGGAGATGATTTCATTGGATTAGAACCGGGATCGACGTGATCAACGTGACCCGTGACTATCCAAAGTTAAAACCGTCACGTCTGGCACATCAATAAACGTTAATCCGAGATCGTCGAAGCGTGTAGCACCAATATATGACGACAATGTGAGCATATGTGTATGTATGTGTGTGTTCCAGTATCAATATGCACTTGAAATATTATGCAAGCAACTATTCGAGCACACTTCATCCTTGCTTATCCTTACAAGAACCCGTACCCGTTTTCCAAATAGAATATGCGATGCGGATGGATATTCTGTTCCACTTTATTCAATTTAAGCCGCACAAAGAGACTACACGGCTTCCGAATGTATCATTCCCAAATGCACAACAGTTTCTTCAAAATCCAATAGGAACGAGTAGCTTCGCTCAGCTCCTAAATTAATTCGATTCTCGAGTGTCGTGCAGGGTGAAAAAGCCACCTCTTCGTTCGCAGCTTATCGCACGAATTAAACTTACCACAAAAGCCCATTATTCACGTGTTAATAATAGTTATAAAGCACTTGTAAAATGTCTTATTTTCGTTGAGAATCGAAAGACCAAACACGCCTATTGCATGCTAAGTGGATTTTAATGACTGACCACTGCGGATCAACTGCATAATCTCGAATTTAGATAACTGAATAAAATAATAGGTTACCCTTATACTCTCTGTACAAGGGTTTGTCGGATTTTATAAACCTAAACATTTTATAATTTTAAAATAATATAAATAAAGAAAAGAAGTTCAGGAAAAAATCAATATTCGACGGACTTTTCCATCTGCAAATTCTGCATTAAATCTGTTCCCTTCATGAAACCCTGACTACAGTTGGAAGAGATCCTTATATAAGTTCATCACAAAAACTCATCCTCTCTTTCTATCTCATTCCCATCATCTCCATCTATCTCTTGGACCTTCGTTCACCACCTTCTACAATATCTTCTTAGCCTTCTATAACATCATCACTTCATCATCAAAAACATCATCTGTTTATCGACGAACATTATGTATAAGCTGTACTTCATACAACATTATCCCATATTCCTTGAACATCTCAAATGAAACAAGTTTGTCCATTATACTTGTGCACCGAAATAAAGTTATTTAATGGTAAACAAAATAATTTGCATCAATCAAAGCAATAGCTTTTCCTGAGTTCAATTTTCTTATACGTTATATGATAGTAGTCCAACCTAGGTACAAATTAGGATAACTTCCCTTAAATGAAATTGTTATTATTGAAAAAACCACGCACAGAATATAGACTGTGTTTATTCATCGATTTTCAAGGGTTGCGACTTCATCTATCCCGTTGACTGTGGTAGCGCGCAAACAAAACATCGTGGGGGGATTTCCCTTTCACATACTCCCACGAGCTCGAAGTATGCCGTTTGAATACATTTCATATGCAAATAAAATCTATAAATTTGCGAAAATGTAACAAATAACAAAAGAAAGGAAAGGAAGTGAACGTCGAAAATGTAAGTTGTGCAGTTAAAAACCGTAGTGTTTATCCCGGAATGGAAGGGCCTTAAGGCGGGATACGCTCTGCGACGTTTCACTCAACTGAAATTTGCGATCATATTGATCGGATTGAGTTTGTCTACCCTGCTTCAAGCAGCATCGCTACGTCCTTGCAAAAAAAAAAAAGGAATTTCAATTGTTACAGCGTATACCAATGGCATTTTAATATCGAATTCTACCGACACAATAAATACATAAATAAAGAACAAGAAATGCAATTTCAACTAGCATTGATTTCGTAAATATGTGATATTTCTTAGTTGGGGCTCAATTTGAAAAAATGTAAAAGAAGGAAAACGTTGTTTATATTAAATTTGCTTTAGATCACGTAAAATCAATGCAAGGAAAACACGTTGTGTGTATATATATATATATACAAATTGGTGGAGGGTGTGGAAAATCACCCATTCAATACTAATTAGTTTAGATTAGAATAGGTTAATTAGAGAAATTGATGTTGGCAGGTAAATATGGTAATATAATGGGCGAAGATTATATTCGGGCCCTTTTGCGGATCCATTAAAAGTAACTTTGTTATCCAGGCTATTACATCAATCAATAACTAATTTCTCAACTGGACACGTTTCTGGTCGTATCTGTAAAATCAAATATTTATTAATGTAATTACATATTGAATGTTGAGGGTGTTGTCCCTGTGCAGGTCAAATCCCTGCGAAATTAACACGCATTGTTCGCGTTCTCCGAGACGAAGAATGCGACTTCATCCCTTTTGCGTCACGATATTTTCCATTTGACTCCTCTGGATGGAACACGTTCAAATTGAATTTTCTACCAAGAATGTACACTCGCTGTTCCGACCTCTTTGGATGCAGCACGTCTTGAAATATTTCAGCACTGATAAATGAAGTACCTTTGCGCAAAGGGCTCTTTTACAAAGCGATTATGCATTAATAATTATTCGCTTAGTAATTAATTCCAATGTATACAGGCGAATAGTGTGCACCTCTTGCAATGTCAATCTATAATTTACAACTTAATGCTGGTTAAAGCTAGTCTGTAATGGCATGGCTTTAGTTAATCAAATGTCAACAAGTAATCGACTTATTTTATCTAGTTGCAGGATACGTATGGCATATCAATTCGTAACTCTAACGTTATTAACTCCCAGGCTTACAAACACCACACAATAATAATTGGATTAACTAATACAAGTTCCATAGGTTATATTAAGTTACCAGGATTAACATCACAAGCAATGCTATTCAAATACCAAATATTTATAATCAAAAATAGTTCTATCTATGTACCTTCATCCATGTTTTCATTAAGTAATTTTGTATTCATATTTTTTATATTATTATAGTACAGAAATAACTCGCAAAGTGCGGATTAGAACAATTCTTGAAATATAACTATATTTAGCTCCTCGGTTTCAAACAGTCCGGTATATTGACGGAACCGATAACTCGCACTATGAGAGTTAATGCTGTATTTATAACATCAAATTACAATTTTATTGTTCAATATTAATATAATTACATTGTTGATATTAAAAAAACTAAATCTTGACAATGACAAAAATAAATTTAAAATTCATTAGAACAAATTGGTAAAACTTAAGAAAAGATAACTAAAACAAATGCCGTATTCACAAAGAAGTAGATAATTCAATTTATTTTGATTAAAGAATGGTCAAAATCTAGTTTACTTAATTTTGTTAGGGACGATTACGATTGGAAAAGCACATCGAGAACGTCGATTGAATAAGTCCAACTAAAAGAATCAAGTAAATTCAATTATATAATTACTAAGAAGTTTATTTTTTATTGGAAAATGTTGAAGCAATCTGATTAATTTAAATTAAAAATATTTATTATAAAAATTATTGATTCCTATATGAAATATTCCTAGATTGAGAACTTGAAGAAACGGTTATTTCTTCAAACTATATTTAACTTGATAAGAAAATAGTCACAAAATGAGCACGAATGGAATAAAAAAGGAGACGAATTATTTGTTGGTGTCTACATTTGTAGTTTTCAAAATTTATTGTAGCACTGTAATAAATTTCCAAAAATCAAGAAAAATGGATCCATTTTCAATTCCCCTCATTACTACGAATGAACAATTATCCTCTTATTTCCTTGGTTGTGCAGCTCTTACGGGAATTGTTTGTACCATAGTGATGTTGTGCTGTTTTTATTATTTGTAAGTAAATTATATTAAAATTATTTTTGCAATTATTGAATTGTTAAATTGTCGCAGGATCCGAAATGAACAAAGGCAAGAACGCGCCATGGAAATGCTGTTTCCACATGTTGACAATATATGAAAATGTTTTATCTACGTGTTGAACAATATTATATTTTTGCATTTCGCAGAATATGGAAAAATATTAATATTTACATACACAATTTAAGGTTAGGTGAAGTAAATGTGAAACAAATGAAACTTCAAAGGTTTTCATCTGTTTCACATAACTGTTATGTGATGGATTCTATCTGCACATTTCTTTTATTTTATTATTATTATAAATAAATAATCTCACCAGTTTATAACAAATTGTATGTGTTTTTAGCAAATGTTTAATCATGTTTATTTTAATGTATTACATAATTTAAATAAAAGTTAACTTAAATATAAACCAAATTCTCATTGAGACAATAAGAAATTTATTTCACATGCGTCAAAGTAAAGAATAAAGCTGGAGTTTTCAAAATAATGATCATTGAATATTTACCGAATCCTACCGAAATGATCTTAAAAGTTACAGTTTGCAATTTTTACATTATTTAGCTGTCAGATCTGATACAAAAATATCACGAACTGGTGTTTTCCATGATTAAAATCTGCTATTATTTCATAAGAAAACTAACCCAACCGTAGCATTGTCCTTCTACATAATTCAGAATTCAATAAAAATCTCGTTTACTATGTTTAATGAAAATCATTTCTTCTTGATCAAAAATCTAGTAATAATTAATAATTTGGGAAAAGTACTTGTCTATGTTATTTATTTTAAAAGTTCAACGTCCCTGTAAAAGTTCAACACAAGAACTTATCTTTCTCAATACTATTCTCTCATTCCTATGATTCCTTCAACTTCCTTCACCATCTTCTACGAATCATTGCAACGCACTTTCTATGAGACCTACAGTTACATCTTCATTCTCTTATCATCTGCACTTCATGCAACAAGATGAATGGAGAACTTCTTACAACAATTTTACTATCCAAAAACTACATTCTACTCCATGTAGATAATTGTGCATTATAGTATTTTTTTTTCTAATATGGTCTCCTCACTTGAAGTTGTTAGACTGTATTGTATTAATCAAGTAAAAGGTGTAATAACAATCACTTGTGATGCATCTTTTTTTTAACACATGCGTACCTATTGTTTCATAAATAACAAAGAAGCACGAATTGCGTCTTTTGTATCGATTGTTTTATTGTCAAAGAAAATTATCGATAAATTGACCGGTTTTGGTAGATAAGAAAATTTTCAGATTTTTCTGTGAAAATAGAAAATATTTAAAGAAACAAATACCTATTGTAATTCATAAAATATAATAACGATGTGATATTGTAATCTTTGAAAAATTGTTATACGATGATGAAATTATTTGTATAAATTAATAATTCATAACAATTTTCATTAAATATAGCTGTTGCATGGCTGTAATCTAATAATAGAAATTTTTAATTGGATTATTTATTTAAAAAATGCAGCCGAACGATATAATTAATATGCGATTGCGTGCTTCGGAAATACCAGGTCTGTAAATAAATAATCTTAATCGTAATTACGAATACAATTCCCATTATTTATTTACAATCTGAAAAAAAATATGTAAATTACAACAATTACATGAATTATTCAAAATTCAAATTTAATAGTTTCTTGACCACGTGTGTATAAAGCAAAACTTTATATGGCTGCAATTTGTATTCCATTAATAGATTGAAGAAAAAAGTAACACTTTCAGTGAGGATCGATAAGATAAGCGTCGAGTATAAAATAATATTTGGAATATATCGAATAATTCAGGAAATAAGCTGTTAAATTTGTAGTACAACGTGTAAGAAATGAAAACAGCGATTATGAACAAACAGACTGAATATGTTACAAAGTTCATCTTCATAAATTTATCTGCTATAATCATTGGAATTGTGATTATACTCTGTTGGATGTTCATAAATATGTAAGTAGATTTTTGGTGTAACTGCGTACTATAATTAATAACATTACTTGCAGAGCTGTTAAATGCCGTCGACAATATATTAGTCTGAGGGCATTCAAAATGATGCCATCAATAAGTATAGTAGATGCAACAGAACTTGAACAAGTTGATAATTAATGTCCATATTATTTTTTATTATATATAAATAATGATAATAATATTTATTTTTATTATTATATATATAAATATTGTTTAATTTCAGTAACTAATCATAAAGCAAATTAGAAATTTGTAATTATGTTTTGGTTAAAACAATGTATTTAATTTTAATATTAAAAAATAAATTCGTTTTTAATATGTATGTTAATAAAAATTATTGATTTTTCAAATGAATTTATTTTGTTCGAATTGAAATGCGACTAACTTCATTTAATTTCGAAAAAAATCCACAATATATAAAATCGTCTGTTGTACTGAACACATAAAAATAATAAAAGCAAATAAAAAAAATATGAAGAAACATATATAGCAGAGTTTTACTCGATTTAATCACATCGTATTAATAATGTCTAATTGCAACGTTAACCAACACGACTTAAGAGCATTGCTCGCTCAACCATGGTCTTGGTCGGAAATAGTGCAACTCATATTTGTTGTATTTGCTTGCGTGGAGTTAAGCATTGCATCCTATCAAATATTTCGTGAGTGAGTAAAAAAATACAAAAGCACTTGTATATTGAAGTAACATAATCATGATTTTTAGCACTTACTGGCCAGAGAGACGTCCTCGCAGAGTCAGAAGGCAGGAGCCTCCGATGATCGAGGAGTTTCGCACGTTCCGTGACTTGTAATCTTATGATTACCTAATTCTCATCACATGTACTAAATACTGTCCGTATTTATAAATTTATGATGCAATCAAAAATTTATAAATATCATGTTAAATGTATATATGGTGAGAAATGAAAGTTGCTAGTATAAATTTCCGGACTTAGAAGGAACATACAGTAAATAAAAAATGCTTTATTCTTTTATTTGCCGCCGTATGATTTTAAAAACTGCTTCTTTGATTTATTTTACTTCAGAGAAAACCAGCTAACGTCATTTTTATCTAAAGAAATTAACCATTATACTGTGCAAGCTTATAATAAAAAACACAAAATGTAAAGAAATTTATTTTGTAGTCCCCTTCCTGATTTTAACAGTTCATTATTTTGTTATGTCGACGTGTAAATATTTTGAATATTGTCTTCACTGTAATTTAGAACAATTACTTGCATATCATGATTTATTTTTTTTGGAGAATATTATTTTAATTTACGTTCAGATTGCTTTGTCTGGTGATAACACTGCTATTATGTGAGTAAACAACGCAAAAATATTTGCATATTTAAATTACATACTCATC